GATATAATGATAGAAAATCTACTTCTATTAGAAAACATTTAAACCTAAATTTCGGTGGTCATAATTAATATATAAATCATTTCTGGGACTCAGATTTTCCAAGCAAAATCTTAAATTTTCTCAGAAGGTTAATGAATGAGACATTCTAACAAAAGAACACTGCTCTACAGATTCAAGTTTTAATTTCAAAATGAAGAAACTTGTAGTCTCTGGGAGATTCATGGACTTTCTTATAGCATTTCCTCTCTTTCTCTCTCTCTCTCCTCCCTACCCCCCCCCAACTCTGGGCTACCCTCTCTGGGCTACCCTGGAACAAGAGGAAAGGGGAAAGTGATAGAAGTGTCTCAGGATGTTAAAATAAGCAAGTCGGAGACTTAACCTCTTCCAGTACCACTGCCTCTTCTCACAGTGAGAATTCAGGAACATGCTGTACTTCAAAATAAAGTCATATAATTACCCATAATTAGTTTGAGGAAACATAAATACAACACCTATATGGGAACTTTCCCAAAACCAAGAAGTTGGCCCCAGTAAATGCTACGTTTTTTACCAATTTTGCCTAGTTCAACCTCACTTTGTGGCATGGAATTAAACAATGCAATACAAATTCATATCCCATTCACGGGCACTGGAGTCTCCCCGGCGAAAGGACGCCATGTTGGTACCGCCTATGTGCACACGGACGCTCTACAGCCGTCCATCCAGGCACCCCCCAGGTGAGCTTCCCGCGGGTCTCCTAGGAAGACCCAGGCCTGCAAGGATGTGAACCTGGGGAGAGTGGGGAGGGGAGGGCATGGCACCAGATCTGAAACTCACCTCCCTGCCTCAAAAGTGAACCAAGCAGCATCTCGTCCATACCGCCGCAGGGCGCTTAGCGGCCAAGAGATGAGTTTGACTCTGGGATTCTGGACGTCCCAAAGACAGATGTGCTCATACGTAATCTGCAAGGCACATTCGCCATGTACATCTAAGTTAGGAGATGGCATCAAATACACATTGAATCTCTCTGGGAGAAAAACAAAAGGTTAGTCTAAAATCCCCAGGAATAAAACATCAAAGACATCGTAGGAACAAAGAGGCATTCAAAATCATTCAAACTCCTATTCTAGGGTATAGTTGATTACTCAGGAAGATAAACTTTCTCATAAATTCACAGTCCCCCCAAATGAACACCCATATTAAATAACAATAATGATAACAGTTTGGCTGTCAACAGGCACTAAACATGACATGAGCAAAGACCATTTTTAGAATTTTTAAATTTGCATAATAAAAAAAATTGTATGCCAAGAACACTAAAGCAATGAATCCATTAAAAGCAATTTCTTCCCCTGACAAGTATGTAGCAATTACACCCATACTTTTGTGCTCACAAAGGATGCAGGTGCAAATTGATGGCTGCTTCATGATATTAAAGTTAGATTGTTCAACCAATAATTTTCATAACTTAAGTGGACTAAACTGTATCCCAAATGCTTTATATTAAACTCCGCACTATGCATTGAACTGACCAACAGGTGGGACATGCCAATGAATATATCGTAACCAGTCTTAACAGAACATTTTCTTTAGCCAAATACAGGAGATACTCATTTGCTAATTATTTGGGTGATTGCCAAAATTTCACCAAGATCAAGCTATATAAGTAACTTTGGCTTATGAATACAACCAAATTTTCCTGCTAATGAAGACCATCATGCTGTTTCTATAATTTTTAGAAAGTTCATTAATTTGAGAAGTTATAGAGATAAAAACACTTAAGGGAAGCACAAACAAAAATATTATTACTAGAGAAAACACATTTTCACCTATCCATCATTATGGCAGGTACTCGACATCTCATAAGATAGTGTGGCACTAGTAATATTAGTAACATTCTGGATGAATTGTTTCATAAGAAGGAAGTCATTTGAATTGTCACAGATTCTGATTGAATTGAGTAAATAAGTGTGACAAGACTGTAGTCATAAAATGTACTCATGAATCTATTCTTCAAACTTTCTAAGACATTTTAAGCTTCCCATCATCAAATATTCTCTGTGTCTACAGATAGGAGCTATTACTAAAAGTAAATATGCTTTAACGGGGCGAGTTTCCATTGGGAAGATTCTGGAGCAAGTGAGAAAAATTGTCAATCTTCATTGAATTGTGAAATCATCACCAATGTATTTGTTTCTTCAATCACTCGAACCATTCCAGAGTGACAAGGTCCAATTGTCCAACAGTGACAATTTCAATGGCATGGAGCCCAGTGAATTAGTAGTGTAAAGTGCCTTAAGAGACCTAATTGGGTCTTGTAATCATGTCTAATCCTCACATAACAGAGATATTTTTATTCCCATTTGACAGCAGAGAAAACCAAGGCACAGAACCCCAGGGAGGGAAAAGTCCCTCCTAGGAACATCATTCTTGAGTCTCACTCATAGCATGAGCTGGACAAGGGGGCCTATCACAGACTCTGGGGTCGAGAGGCAAAGAGATGACCCCAGGCTCACGCTGCAAACCAACACGGATACGTGCTGCAGCATTCACGAGCATTTTGGACATGATTCTCTAAAAAGCTTGATGCCCAAGTCAAGTGTCAATCTCAAAAAGTTGGCTGAAGTGTTGCAGTTTGAAAAGCAAGATCACAGATTTAGCTGCATTTAAACTTTATGAAACATTCATGAAGTTGGGATTTCATGAACAACCGTGGGAAGATTTCAATAAATTTTTAAGTGGAAAAGCCTAAAGCCACAGCACTATAAAATCTGTACATTATAAATCAGGCCCAAGGCTACACAGACAGGAATCAAAAACTCCTTATGGGAATTAGAGGCAGGTTATCTCCTCAAGCTTCCATCTCCTCCGCTGTAAAATGGGAAGATAGCAGCAGCTGTGAACTAAGGCTGCTGGCAAAGGGGAATGTCCCGATGGGAGAACAGCATCTTCCACAGAAACTGGGGGAGAGCAGAGCCCCTCCAATTTTAGCTGGTTTTATAAATGTAGATGTATCCACATGAGGTACTCTAAACATCGTAGGAAAATGCACTGGAGTTTTAACACAAGTTTTGGGTGAGATCGGAGATCCTTTTTACTTTTTTCTTTGTACATTTGTATGACTTCACATAATGAAGGTGTCTTATGTTAAGTGGGGGGAACGTCTATTTAAAAAGAGTGCAAAGGAGAGAATTTGCTCTACATACCACTCTGTTCTCTCTCAACCCCTGTAGCCAGTAAGTCAGGCTCTCCGAGGCTAATGTCGTTGATGCGTGTGCCCACACACTCCATCTGGAGGACTTTGCACCATTCATCAGCCTCAAGGTCTATGGGAAAGTAGGAGAGATGAAACTGGAGGCCCAGCACCCACCAACGGAAAACAGAAAGGTCTTTCCTGCTTCAGACAAACCTGATTCACAAGCAAAGGTCTTGGAGGTATCGTCATTGAAATAGATGCCTATAGCGTGCTTCTTGGTGCTCTTGGGCAGCCGAGCGACACTCTTCACGTTGTTGAGCTCTGTCACCTGGAAAGCGAGCAAGGGGTCAGAGGTCACACACGGAAGCTGGGCTTCCGTCAACGACACTAAGCCGGGAGCGCATCGCAGATGAACACGGCTAGACCTACAGTGTGTGTGAAAGCTGTGAATGGTCCAGTGTTACCCTTAATATGCAGCAAGGGGGGCTACCCATTGCCTTTCCTTTAAAAAACAGTGTTCCCTGAATCTAGCACAGAACGCTCACAGAGGGAACTCAGTCGGTATCACAAGGCTTGAAGAACTCAGCCATACTCACTTGCATGGTGCTCCTCCAGGGTTAATGCCTCACCCCTGCCTCTTCTCCAGGAGATTGATACTTTTCTTTTAGGTTCACTGTCTGTGGAAAGCTTGCCCTGACCTTGGTGTGACCAATGGCCCCTTCCCTCCACTCCCACATATGCTGCACGAAACACTAGTCTGTTAGCTGTGGTGACCCCACTGTCTCTCCTGTCCCCAGCTAGACACGTGTCACCAACCAAAGACTTAATGAAAGACTCCATCAATGAAACACAAACATTTGACAGGGGCCATTTTGAAGCTGTGCCCTGTGTCACACACAGTGCTGAGAGTACTTTTTATACAGAACGGCTCATTTGATTTTCCTAAAACCCTACGAGATAAAAGACGCTGCTTTCCTCAGTATTATGCAGATAAAGAAACTGAGGCTGAGAAAGCTTAGACTACGTGCCCATGTTCCTCACTAAAAACCAGCTGAGTTCTAAATGCGGCAAGCTGACCCCAACCTGTGCGCTTCACCCAGGTTGTATACACACACACAAATGAAAACTCGTTTGCTGGACAGAGGTATGGATTCCAATAAAAAGTTTGTGGAGGGCTCACCCTGGTGGCACAGCGGGTTAGGATGCAGCACTGCAAATTAGCCGCAGCTTCTCCGGTGCAAGTTCGATCCCCAGCCCTGAAGGTGACACACATGGCGCAGCAGACCTCGCCTGACCCACCCATGGCTCCCCTCAGCGGTGTACTTTGTCCATCGGCCTGTTCTGCTCCCTGCTCTGTCTCTGGTGAAGCCTCTCAGCACCCCTGCACCTCTGGCCTGTACCCTGGTTCTCTATGCATCAATAAATAAATCTTTAAAAAAAAAAAAGTACTGGACATGAATCAGGATGTTCTCTGACTTTGCTTTCTCCCTTTTTACTTATAAATAAGTATATCTACACTACTGCACCCTTGATTTTAGTTAAAATGTTTAAAATTCCAGGCTTTAACCCACAGCATCCTGAAACTTCAGCAAATCTTTCTTACAAATAACAAGGTTTTCCCAAAGCACCTCAATGCCATTTTCACCACTAAGAAAATAGGCAAGAATTCCAGATATCATCTGATTTTCCACCCCCACATATCCATATCCAAATTTCCCTGAAAGTCCCAAAAACATCTTTATGGTTGTACCCACATCCCTCTATCCCCCCAATCCAGGGTCCAATCCAGCAGGATTCTCACAGCGCCTTTCTTATATCGGAATCTATTAACATACAAGAGCGCCACATTTTGCAGATGACACCGCCATTTTGGAAACACCACGTCCATCTCCTGCAGACTGCCCCATGCTCTGGGTGTGTGTGCTTTTCCATGGTGTCCTTTATTTTCCAATCACCTTGTACTTCTTCTAAAACAGATGTTACCTCTAAGGCTTGATGAGCTTCAGAAAACATTCTTAAGATACTCGAATGTGAGTCTGTGAGCTTCACATGGCATAATTCGAAGAGGCAACTGGGCCAGAACATCCCTGGTGGTGAGGCTTAGCCCACCCCTGGGATACCCGGGCCACTTCTTCTACATCCACAAAGCCATGTTACTCTTTGTATTTAGAGCCAGGTGATACTTTGGTATTAGGTGAAAAGCCTGTTCTGCTAGCAACTTTACCCTTTTAGCCCAAATGGTTTGTCGAGTAAAGTCCATAGAGTTCTCATTGCCAGAGGCGAGATCAAGATTGACTGGAGATGCTTTTAGGGGCTGACCACCCCACACTGCCTTCTGTTGAAGTAGGAAACACTGATCCTGAACTTTTGCTAGAATCTCTACTGTCATTCAATTAGTATTGCGAAAATGTACAGCTATTGCATTGGATCAGATGAAAAGTTCGAGTCTCCGCATGCTGAGCTGGCGGAAGGGGCTGCCCCCCCTCCTCACACCCTGGGGTATCTTCAACCTGAGGCTTTAGGCTGTCTGGAGAGGGGCCGCAGTGTGAACACAGACGGTGGACTTCAGAGGTGAGCCACGCCATAGTGTCCTGACTGTTCCACCGGTCTCCTCTCAGGCCTTTCAGAGGCAGAGGGCTGTCACCACAAGGCAAGTCTCGTGGGCTGAGGTCAAGCTGGCAGGCAAGCCATGCACGTGAGGATCCATTTTGGCTGCACATTCAGAGCCTGTTGAGGAGTCTGGGAGCCTTTGGCTTCCCAAGCCTTCGGGTGGGACTTACATGGCACCTGATTGGTGTGACTCCTTCCACCCGGCGGGAGGCCTCGCCTGCTTCAGCAGAGAGGGGAGGCAGATGGCGAGGGCAGTCCCACTGGCCTTTCCCGGGCCAATGCAGAAAGTGACAGAAGGCCACCTTGCTGGAGGTGGCCTTTGGCTCAGCCTGTGATTACATTAGCTGCTCTGCCTAAAACTGGACTAAACAAACTTTGACTCACTTTGCTCGAGCTGTATTCCAATGGTGTTTTCCTCCTGTGCACTCCGAGTCCCTCTCAGAGAAAGGGGTTTCCATTCTTGCCTGGGAGAAAGGCTCCACTCGGGTCCTGCGGGTCTCGGGCTGGTCCTTCGGCCCTGTCATTTTCTCTGCACCACTGTGCAAATGCAGCCTAGTGACGCTGAGGTCACTGGGCTGAAGAGAGACAAATGTCACTAAAAGGAAGCCAGTGTCCAGTCTATTTGACCTGAGAGCTCAGCCCATTTCATTCATGTGTCTGTTCAAGCTCATCAAACAAAACACTATATTTGTCCTCTGCCCCGAAATGCTCATCCTGATATCCCCATGGCTCCCTCTTGCCCAGCTCCAGCTAGCCACACTTCCTCTTTACCGTATCGCCACTGCTGATAGCTCCATTGAGGACGAGAACACTCTCAGCCCATACTTGCTTTTCCCTCTGAGCCCCTTCGCCTCCCCTTGTATTTATCAGCTGCATCAGCTTACTGTTTTGCTCTATGTCCCTCCGTGTCTCTCTCTCCGCCAGTAGAGTAGAGAGGCAGGGAGTTGCCTTCCAGTTTGCTTCTGCTTTAGTTTGCCTCCTGTGCTACGCACTATCCCTTCATGGCACAGCTCCTCAGTAAATGCACACTAAGGGGAGGCTCTGTCTCGAGCGGGGCCTCCTTCACCCTACCGTAAAGACAAGGAGACCAAGGCACAGTGACGCCATCAGCACGCTCAGGGTGGACAAGTCCCCAGCAGTGGCAGAGGTAGTTCACTCCCGGAGGCAAACCCTTCATCATGGCCAGATCCAGGCATACTGGGTTCTAAAGATTCCAGGCCATGGGGTTATTGCATTTCCCCCCGCACCTCCTCACGCACTGTCTCTGCTCTGTTCCCACTACATGGCCATGGGCTAAATCCGTGCTCACAGCTGGCAGGGTCAGCGCTGGGATCTGAGCACAGACCTGCTCACTACTCGTGGCTGAACCACCAAGTGAACCGACAGAGAAGGATCTGAGCAGCCACCACTGCAGACTTAGGGCTGCTGCTCTTAATGGCGACACAAAGAATGGACAGGTGTTTAGGACACACACAGGGAAGACCAATCTCCAGTAGAAGAAACAACCTGAGTGCCATCATGAAACAGCATGGGAGGGCGACAGTGAGGGATGTTCATGTGAGCAGACGCCAAGGTGGACCAGGGCCAGACCATAAGGGACCCAGAGAGCTGCTATCAGGGGCTTGCGGGGACTCGTGACATCTGAAGAGATGTCAGATACTAAAAGGTTTCAAGCAGACACATGGGATGGTCCCATCTACATATTACAAAGATGATTCTGTAGGCCAAGAGTTCCCAATCGGGGAGATTTTGCAATCCCTGGACCCCAGACAATTTGGTTGTCAAAACTGGAGGGGTGTTACTGGTAGATGCCAGAGATGCCACGCTTCCTATGAAGGACAGGCTGATAGAGCTGATGCTGAGAATCACTGCTCCAGTAAAAGCAAACCAGGAACCCAGCTGATGCCTCATGCAACTGCAGCAGGCTCTTGGGTGGGGGAGGTGATGAGAATGGTGCCCCCTGGCGGGGAGCCTGGGCACTGCATGACATGGTTCCCAGGTGGGTGAAGGAGGGGAGCAAGACCCCAGGGTTGAGAGGACGCCCAGGGAGGCCAGACAGAGCCAGACAGGAGTGCTCAGGTCTCTGTCTCCAGTTGGCAAAGAGGAATGAGAAGACTGCGAGAGACTTAAGAGCCACATGCTAATAATTACTATGTAGATCCTGGATCTCAGTTTTCTGTGTATGAAAATAACAAAGTACCAGGACTTCATGAAAGGAAAGATTCAACCCTCTCCTAAATTTCTGATCAATCTTTGAGTGTGCCATGCAATTAAGAATTCCCAAAGAAGGAATGCCAAACTAATTTGGCTTTTAAAGCCATCCTCCAGATGTCTTATTCATCATAAATGTTAGTATTCATTGAAATAAATGTTTAATAGTCAGCGATTAACAAAGTGGCCATACTTTAAAAGTTTAATTAGCTACCAATACAGTTTTGCATTAACAACCTAGAAAACAATTACAAATGACACAATTCAATTTTCCTAATGGATTATTGTGTAACTAGACAGAAATGGTTGAAATTTCTTCTGGTGTTTCAAGGGAAGATTAATAGAATTGGATTTTTAAAAGTACATTCTTTTGAGAAACGAGTATATGTCTGTCAGAATTAGGCAATTAGTAGACATTGTGTGGGAATATTAAGTATGTTTCTGGTGTGCCGCTGAGGCAAAAGCCATTTAGGAAAAACAAGGATTTGATTTCCAATTTTTCCCTTC